CTAGTTCAACATTTTAAGTACTACACTGATCTAGCTAGGTATGTACAGAATAGTTATTGAAACAAAAAGGAGAGAGATCAACTTTAGTTACATGATGTGAAGCAGAGTCACAAATTATATATGATCATTTGAGACCGGTTCATTTCAACCTAAATTTGTATATAAAGTTTTTGGGTAATAGGCAGAGTCAGAGAGTCATGAGACACACTGAGTTGCTTCTTTCAGATGACAGATTTGGACAGGCATTCCTGCCTCTAAAGAAGCTCTTATCCAAACTCTTGAACCCTTGCTGCACTTTTAGAAGGATCACCTTTTGTCAGCCCCACCTATGCCTTGTCTAAACCTCCTTATTATCCCATGCTCCACAAACTGCTGCCAGAGTCCTGAGTTTGCAGAGGTACTTTATTCTCAAGTCATTTATCTGGTATGTAATGAACAAGTATCTTACCTTTTTAAAATAAAAAATGCAAATATTCAAATTTATTCGTAAGAATATATAAAACTGTCATTCTTAAATAAATAACTCTGTGTAATTAACAATCAATACATAAAAAATATTACAAACCCTTTGTAAACAAAACAAAAAATACAATACAATTAAAAATAATCATAATACAATAACTAAGGCACCACATGACCAACTCACAGCACAAAAACACACATATTGGGCAGCACTAATATCCTGGCCCTAATTTAGGAATGGGGCCATTCAGATCTCAGGAGGGAGTCTGTTCCACAGGGCAGAGCACCTTGACAAAGAAGACACTGGTTCCATTAAATAACACTGTTTCATGAAAGGGACTAAAAATATGTCCATCTCAGATCTGGTGGGACAGGCAGAAATCATTGATAACCAGCACCTTGAATTGCGCCCAGAAGCATACTGGGAGCCTGTGTGGCTTGGGTAACAGTGGTGTCACACGGGGCAAATCTTGGTGCGCCCAATATTGTCTGCGCTGCTGTATTCTGGACCAGCTGAAGCTTCCAAATGCTTTTCAAGAGCAGCCCCACGTAGAGCGCATTGCAGTAATCAAATTGGGAAGCAACTAAGGAATGAATGACTGCGATCAGATAGAGTTGTGCAAAGGTTCACCTAGCCATCACTGTGACTTGATGCTTGAGAAGGAGTTGTGAGTCCAAAAGGACTCCCAGATTTTGTACTAGCTCTGTCTGGAGTAGTGCTGTCCCATCAAGAGGTAAGAATAGAAAATCTACAGGTCCAGAGAGCCCCCCAACCCACAGCCACTTGGTCTTGTTGGGGTTGTGTTGCAGACTGTTCTTCTACATCCAGACTTCACTGTTTCCAGGCACTAGATAAAGGCCTTTCCAGGTGTTATCTTGTATCAACATACCATGTCTTGAAAGTCTCTATGATCTAAATATATGCTCTTTCTCATCCCATTTAATATTTTCTAACCTACTAATTGTTTTCCTCAAATGGGTCTAGTCTTCCTGTGGGCAATTCTGGTGTATATTTTAAAAGATTTTTCCTGCAGTCACTGATTATCAATAGAAAACCCTCCAGCCTGGATTCAAGTGATATGCTCCTGCTTCAGTCTACCTTTCTGTTCTGCTCACGTACAGTTAATCTCTTCTAAGCTGGAACAGTGCTCTGAATCAGTCTCAGAGCACTGCTGTTCTACCCTGTTATTCAAGTATCATCCCCAGTTTCTCATCAGGGTGGCATACAGAGGAATACAAGTTAGCAGTCCAACCATTAGCAATGATCACATAGTATCAAGTGTAATGTGTGACTGTCTATTCCAATGACTTCAGTGTCTTAAATTTGATGGTGCTTAAAAGTTTGTAAACCCTTTTGAATTTTCAATATTTCTGT